AATTACATGTTTTATTTTATATTTTTTATTTCATTGGCGTATACAACATAGCATTTTGGATGGACTACTATTTTATATATTTGGGTCGTTCCATGTTCTTTTAATTAACTACAATCATATATTGAGGGTGTTTTTTGTTTTTTTTCTTGAAAAATAGTCCCATACCTCAGTTCACAGTTCTTGTTATTTTCTAATTAGTTCTGTTTTTTAGTATTGTTGTTGTCGTTTCATTTTATGCTCCCAATAAATCTACGATATGCTTGGTGTTGTGACAACATAGCAAGCATTGTCGCTGGATTTATTTAAAGTTTCAACAAAAAATTGTCAAGTATTACTTAATGACGTAAGGATATAAAATTATTGTTTCATGGCTTTAATATATCTATACAGCTTTAAATCATAATCCTATATTGTGTCATCGTTATGTACCTGATTTTTTCACTATGTTTTTTGAAACAAATCTGAAATGTTCACGATTCCATAACCTATCTTTTTTTTTTTGGTGATCCATTTTTTTACTCAATTTTTTCTCCGACTTTTTGAAATAAAAATGATTTATTACCTATGTTTTGGTCTGCTGATATTTTATTATTCCCCCACTTGCTAACTATGGCTAGAACTAGAAAATAATCAAAACGCCCCTAACAAAGTGTGAAATTGACTAGATTACCGTTATGACTTATTTCCCATACTTGCATGCAACCTTCTTGCACCCAAGTTCCCGGGCATGAAGCTAAATTCCTATTCATTGAAACTACATAATTTTGACTTTCGGACTCATAAAAATTTTCATATAAGAAATTACTGTCTCTAGTGTCTACACCAAATTCCCTAGACCTTAGCAAATCCCAAAATGACCAACTAACAAAGAGAAAATGACAAACTCATCTTGGGGCTGAAAAGAAAGATACAATGACAAATACTTCCTGGCGATTAAAAAAAAAGACTATGAAAATGACAATCTAGTCTTGGTAACCAAACAGAACTTGAAAATGACAAACACGTCTCGGGAGCCAAAAACTCCTAGATGCGATTTGTATCATTCTCCCCGAGTTGGAGAAGGCTCAACTCCGTCGAGTTGCCATCACCATGATACTTGAATAGGTCTTTCACGTTGAAGACTGGGGAGATATTCTATCCTCTTGGCAGCTCTACTTCATAGGCATTGCCATTGATTTTCTTTTTGATTTTACAAGGGCTAATCTTCTTTGCTTTTAGCTTGCCATAGGTACCAACAGAAAATCGCTCTAGCCTGCGATACACCATAATAAGTTCTCCAATTTTGAACAACAGTAGCCATTGGTGTCGATTCACAGCATCTTGATACTTAGTGTAACTTTCTCCAACTTCTTTCGAACCTTTTCATGTAACTCCTTCACGTAGTCAGCCATGTTTGAAGCATCTTGATCAACTTGCTCACGCATCGGTAGAGATGTTAGATCATGAAAATTTAAAGGTAATAGCCCATAGACCACATTAAATGGAGCTTTCTTGGTTGGTTGATTTAGAGATTGATTTAGAGAATTATCATATGCAAACTCAACCTGTGGTAACACCAAGTCCCATACTTTCAAATTCTCTCCAACCAAGCTTCTTAACATATTCCTAACACTCCTATTAACCACCTCAGTCTGTGGGTAATATGCACTAGTAAACTGCAATTTGTTTTTCATTTTACCCCTCAAAGTTCTCCAAAAGTGGCTCAGGAACCTAGTGTCTCGGTGGAATGTGATGGTTTTAGGAAAACCATGCAAGTGTACGATCTCGTTGAAGCAGAGATTGGCTACCATAGTGCCATCACTGGTTTGTCTACACGGTAAGGTGTGCCATTTTTTAAAACCTATCCACTACCACCATAATTGAATCATGGCCTCTTGCTGTCCTTGGCAAACCCACTATGAAATCCGTTGATAAATCAACCCAGCCTATTTGGAACTGGCAATGGAGTGTATGATCCTGTGGCTTGAAAATGTCCCTTTGCCTCTTTACAGTTTATACACCGGTCGACAAATCTATACACATCTCTCTACATGGAAGGCTAAAAATACCTCTCCTTCATTAAGGAAAATGTCTAATCCCTTCCAAAATGTCCACCAAGACGACCGAAATGCAAATCAGCAATTAAATGCCCCCTCAAAGAGGTACTAGGGACACGTATATGGACACCATAGAACAAATAGCCATTGGATAAAAGCAATTGGTAATAAGAGTTACTGTTGCTTGTTCGGCACCTCTCTGTTATGTCCTTGAAGTATGGTTAATCTTAATAGGCTTCTCGCACTGCTTCTAAACCCACCACTTCAAGTGCTAATGTCCTCACCAAATGAACTTGCCGACTAAGAGCATAGACCAATTTTTTTTGCTCTCCTGATTGGTGACTTATAGTGAATGTATACTCTTGCAACTAAGCCATCCACTTAGCATGTCTTGCACTCAACTTCTTTTGGCTATTATTGTGCTTGAGTTCGTCATGGTCAGTGTAGAGAACAAACTCCCGATGAATCAAATAATGTCTCTAATGGTGAAGAGCTTGGATGACAGCATAGAACTCAATGTCATAAGTCGAATATCGTTGCTTCATGTCATTGAGTTTCTCTCTGAAAAATACATAGGTCTCTTCTCTTGACTCAATACAGCTCCATTTCCTACATGAGAGGCATCACACTCTACCTCAAATGCCTTATTGAAGTCAGGCAAGCAAGGACTGGTGCAGGTGTCATCCTCTCCTTAATCTCCTTAAAATCCTTTGTAGCTATGGGAGTCCACTTAAACACTCGGTGCTTGGTGCCATGATGGTACGGAAATTTCGAATGAACCGCCTATAGAATGTGACAGGTCCATTGAAACTTCGCACTTCAGTCACTGTTTCAGGTATTGGTCAATCAAGTATTGCCTTAGCCTTCTCGTAATCCATCTTAACACCATCCAAAGAAACCACAAAACCTATGAACACCAAACTGTTCATCATGAAACTGCACGTCTTAAGGTTAACGTACAATTTCTCAGCCCTCAAAATAGTGAGCTCTTGGCACAAATGATTAAAGTGTGCCTCTGAAGAAACCT